TGGGCACTCAGGAACTCGGGCTGGGGCTCACCATGGGAAAGAGCCAGCCATACTCATCGTTGTTGACACCAATGATGCTAGGGACGGGTTGAAAGTCAGCCGAGGCCAGCAGCTCCTCGGGGTGTCTGGGCAGAAAGACTCCGTCCACCACACCAGGGGTCATGGGGAAGATCTGAATGAGCACATAGATCCATGGAGAAACGTCACATCCTGGACATACTCGGATGCCCCCTGAGAACCTTCCACGCCTCCCTGGCTCATTCGCACCCCTACACCCGGGGTTCCCACATTTGACTTTTTGTGACCAGGCCTCCATTGCCCGTTTAGGGCTACAAGGACACCAAAGCGTGGAGATGAAGTAACTGGTCTGGTAGCAGGAAGGGCACCCAGGCCCACAGCTCTCTGCTCCCCACACCCTGGTGAATTCAGCCTGACCTTGGTGATGGCCAGCATCTCCTCTTCACTCTTGCCCCGCAGGCAGTCCACGAAGGCCTTGGAGTTCTCGTGGTCACAGGCAGACAGGTTGGCCACCATCTGTACAGGGACCAAGCAGGGGCTGGCACATCTGCCCTGGCAGGGTGAGGGATTTGCCCAAAGCCTCAGCTGGGAGGAGAGTGCCCCTATCTCTCAAGGTACTGTGTGCAGATCGCTGTAGCTTTGAAACTATTCCAACTACCCTAGAGTGACCCCCAGAACTGCTCAGACAATTCTTCCTCTGTGATGGCGTCCAGGGCAGCAGCTCTAAGGACACAGAACCGTCATAGCCCCCATCATGGCAAAGCTGTGTGGATTCTGACTGATGGGCCCCTCAGGCATCCCCAGGTTGGTGGCAGTTCCCCAGCCATCCTAATGGTCCTTGTTACATCCGTTGAACAGAGTAACAGAGGTCTTGAGAGGTAAGAGGGGAGGCAGCAGCTCTGGGCTTCTGCAGTGTAGGCCACTCACTGTGGAGACCACATCTGATGATCTGGAAATAAGCTTGGGCAGCAGGGCCACCCCACTCTGCATGATGGCTCCGTGGAAGAGTCCTCGGGACATGGGCGACACCACATGGGATGACACACTTGTGCCACCCGCAGATGCTCCAAAAATGGTGACCCGGCCAGGGTTGCCTCCAAAGTGGGCGATATTCTGCTGGACCCAGCGCAGCGCAGCCACTTGGTCCAGGTAGCCCCAGTTGCCGGCAGCGTGCTGGTCTCCAGTGCTGAGAAGTGGCAGGGACAGGGGTCACAGGGCTGTCCTGGTGCCACTCTTCCCGCAGTGCCCACCCCAGCCCCGGTCTCACCTGAAGAAGCCCAGGACTCCCAGGCGGTACTGGATGGTGACCACCACCACGTCCTCAAATGCCGCCAGCGCAGAACCATCACACATGGAAGCCATGCCCATAACCAGCCAACCACCGTGGATCCACACCATCACCTAGGGAGTTAAGACTGATACTGTGAGGCTCCACCCAGCCTAAACCCCACCTGGCTGCCACCTGGACTAACCAGTGCTTGGCTCTGCACCTCCTCATGGAGACAGAGCTCCAGCAGACTCAAGACCTGGGCCCTGTTAGCAGGAAGAACAGAGCTCTCATACTTGGAGTTCTACCCCGGGTATCAAAGCCTGGGTCCATTGCTTCCAGAACCCCTTGAGATGGGAAGGAAAAGGCTGTATTCCTTGTCATTCCACATGGATGTTAATCAAAGGTGTCCAGGTGATAACCTATGGCTGGGAGCTGTGGTGACCTTCAAGTGTAGCCAGAGGTCACCCGAGTGTGCCTCCTGGGCAAGAGGATGCTGCAGGTGTCCCAGGTCCTTTTGAGGCCAATAGAGTCGGACCTCTAACAGCTCAGTCCCTGGGGCCCCGTGCCCAGGCCTCAGCTGCCCACGGTGGGGGAGCAACACTTCTCGGCTCCCCTAGTGAGAGGCTTCTGGACAGGGTGTGCTCACAGGAGGGCCCGTGCTCAGCTTCTCCTTTCTCATCTTCTAGCAGAAGACAATGCCCTCCCACCCCGGCCGACCCTGCCCCACACTCACAGGCAGGTCAGAGCCCTCACGGGCATGTGCAGGCGAGTAGATGTTGAGGTACAGGCAGTCCTCGGACACGGTCATTGAAGGCATGGTGAGGTTCAGTTTCAGAAACCGTGGATCCATTACCTCAACATCCTGCAGGCACCTGTGACCACCCGAGGGCAGGCAGTGAGCCCAGGGGTCCCAATCTGCTCCTCGCCACCCTCAATCCCCCTGCCCTCCTTATACCTTGCTCGGACATGACCTTCAGCGATGTCCCCATCATGGTACTGGCCTCAGACTCTGGGGAACCTGCGATGGATCTGGATTTCCAGGGAGGCCTCAAGGGTTTTGAGGGCTTGGGTACCACTTCTTCCCTGAACAGGAAATCTTGACTCTTAGGGAAGCATTAGAACAGGTGCTGGCATTCTCTACTATATCCTAGGACCCATTCAGGCCCCGAAGAGGGCAGTAGTCAGTCCCGAGTGCTGCATCAATGCATGGACGCCATGTCTCATGGAAGCACAACAGGATTGGACACCCAGAGGAGCCAGGAGCCAGGGAGGCAGGAGCCCCGAGAGGAGCCAGGAGCCAGGGGAGGCAGCCCACCAGGCCCTGTCCTCTCAGTCCTGCTCTCCTGTAAGGCCCCCAAGCCCTGCCCCCGGGGCTCGCCCCACCTGTTCCCTTCAGGTTACGGGCTGGGCCAGCGACTGCCCCTGGAACGCCTGGTCAGCCTCTGGGCTCAGAGCCACACACGGGGACCTGCCCCAGACCATGGGGACGCATCATAGGGATGCATGAGGATCCCGCAGGCAGCGACAGGGACCCGGGTCAGATCTGCCCAATCACACACTTAGAGTCTGCAGCACCAGGACAGAGCTCTCCCCTCGATGGTCACCCTCAGACGCCCTCTGTGTTAGGAGGGGAGCATCCCAGCGGCCTTGCTACTGCTGCTCCAAGTGTCTGCCAGCTGTCTGGGACAGAGCTCCCATAACCAGCTTTCCCTGTGGGTGATGGCTCCCTCGTGCGTTATTCAGTGAGTCTGCTTAGGCTTTCTGGATTCAGTGACCATGAAATGCTTTGGGGCCAGAACGTGGCACTCAGAGCACATTAAATCCAGGTACAGAGAGAAAAGCAGAGACGCTCTCCCCATGTCCAGGAGAGGCCACAGGCTCTCTGCCTGCAGGGGGCGCTGTGTCTGAGTGAGGTTCACCTGGCTCCACATGCTTGTAGGAGGCCCCGACTCCATCAGCAGATCCTGCAGCTCCCTGAGATGGGCACCAGAGGGGGTCGTCCTGGTCACTGAGCCAACGACAGGACAAGGACATTGGCCAGGGACCCGTGTATGCCCTTAGGACTGGAGACTGTGGGAACGGGGAGGTTCCTGAGTCTAGAGTGAAGGTGAGGGTCGTCCACTGCCCTTCCTGGGGAAACGCCATCCGTCCTTCCAGGCTCGTGTGCGGCAGGCTGGCCTGCTCCGGCGTGGCTGGGTCTGGGCATCCAGCACTGAGTGTCCCCTCCTGTAGTCACGACTTCCCACAGAGTCCCCTGTCAGTCAAGAGTGGTCCCCAGACTCTCAGACACCTGAGGTTCCCTGATGTTGGACCATCCCATGTCGCTCCCCCTCTTCGCGGAGGAACGACACTGGACCCTGCGTTGTTCTTTTGTCTGCTCGGCCCTTCCCGGGTTTGCTGCTGGTTATTCCCAGGTTGGCTGCCGATCCTTCCACCTCTGTGGAAGGGCGGCTCCCCCTGCCACTTTCCCCACTTCCGCGGGGGAGCGGCACACCGCTGGCCGGCTCTCTCGGGGGCTGCTCAGATGTTATCCGGATGTTCCCCTTAGATGTTCCTGGTGCATGGTGTCTCTCTCCTCCTTTACAGTCCTCTTCCACCAATCCCAACTCTGCTACCCACACGCCGAGTACGCTGCTCTCCTCCAATCAGGAGCAGGATCAGCTCCTGCAGGTTATTGGTCGAACTGGAGGCAGCTGTGTAAAAGTTGTTTACTCCTCTCCCAGCGCCATATTGTTGGAGAGCAGAGCATAGAATACGTCTTAATTCCAGTAACTTAGTCTAGTCCGAGTTGCTCCCACAATCCCAGCTCACCCAGAGTCCAGGACCTGGAGCCTGGTGGGAAGTGTCTTATGGAGGCCCATGAGTGAGCAAGGCTGTAGGAGGAGGCCCGGGGAGTGTCGGGCGCACTAGACCCAGGCTCTAGACCAATGGCTGCCTTGGGTGGCTCCAGGTGTCTGCAGAACTTGGCTATGATGGGTCAAGGTGTTCTGCAGCTGAACCTCACCCCACCGTCGATCCCCATGTCCGAGGACTGCCTGTACCTCAATATCTACTCGCCTGCACGTGCCCGTGAGGGCTCTGACCTGCCTGTGAGTGTGGGGCAGGGTCGGCCAGGGTGGGAGGGCATTGCCTTCTGCTAGAAGATGAGAAAGGAGAAGCCCTGCACGGGCCCTCCTGTGAGCACACCCTGTCCAGAAGCCTCTCATTATCGGAGCCAAGAAGTGCTGCTCCCCCTCAATGGGCAGCTGAGGCCTGAGCAGGAGGTCCCGGGGCCTGGCTGCTGTCAGAGGTCAGAATGAGTGGGTCCTGGATGGCCCCAGGACATTGCCATCATCCTCTTGCCCAGGAGACTCACTCAGCTGTGTGGTGAGGGCTGACCTTGGAGGTCACACAGGACATCAGCCATGGACGCTTGGGCAGCCCCTGGGGAGGGAGGGCACTTTGAATGACATCCATGTGGAAGGACCAAGACTCAGCCCTTAGCTTTCCACCTCACTGCAGGTTCTGGAATTGATGCAACCAAGCTCTGAAACAAGGGCTGGAACTCCAAGGATGGGAAGCCTGGCCTTCCTGCTGGCACTGGGTCCCTGGCTCAATGCCCAGATCCTGCTGTCTGGGTAGAGTTCAGTGTGCTGGGCACCTGCACAGTCCCCAGGCCCTGGTTAGACCAAGAGGGGGATGAGCAGGCTTTACGCTGGGGGGAGCCACAAGGTCCATCCTTGACTCCCCAGGTGATGGTGTGGATCCATGGTGGTGGGCTCACTATGGGCATGGCTTCCATGTATGACGGTTCTGTGCTGGCGGCATTTGAGGACGTGGTGGTGGTCACCATCCAGTACCGCCTAGGAGTCCTGGGCTTCTTCAGGTGAGACCGGGGCTGGGGTGGGCCCTGCAGGAAGAGTGGCACCAGGACAGCCCAGTGACCCCTGTCTCTGCCACTTCTTAGCACTGGAGACCAGCACGCCGCCGGCAACTGGGGCTACCTGGACCAAGTGGCTGCGCTGCGCTGGGTCCAGCAGAATATCGCCCACTTTGGAGGCAACCCTGGCCGGGTCACCATTTTCGGCGAGTCTGCGGGTGCCATAAGTGTTTCTGCACATGTGCTCTCACCGATGTCCCAAGGTCTCTTCCACGGAGCCATCATGGAGAGTGGGGTGGTCCTGCTGCCCAGCCTCATCACCAGCTCGTCTGAGGTGGTCTCCACAGTGAGTGTCCTCACTGCCCAGCCAGCACTGCTGCTCCTGCCTCTATTACAGTCTCAGGGAAATGAGCACAGCGTGGACCATTGGGAGTGTGGGCTTTGCTGTCTACTGGTGACTGCTGAGCTCTCCGTGGTCAGAATCCACACACCTGAGCCACAGCAGAGGAAGAACTGGTTCTCGGCTCCACCAAGCTGCCCACCTTGACCCCAGGTTGTAGCAGCCAGGTGCTGCCGTTGTGTCTGGGCGGTACCAAGTCATGGGGAAGAAGGAATAATCAGCTTCCAACTGCAACCATGTCCACACCACACCCTGAGCTAGATTGGGTACACCTGCCTCCAGTGGGGCCATGGGAAACCCCGTGTCTCCCGCATGGCTGTGCCAGCCCCTGTGTGGTCCCATTACAGGTGGTGGCCAACCTGTCTGACTGCGGCCAGGTGGATTCTGAGACACTGGTGTGCTGCTTGCGGGCCAAGAGTGAAGAGGAGATGCTGGCCATCACCCAGGTCGGGCCCCGTGCACGTGGGTGAGGGGGTGATGGGCTTGTGTGCACCTCATAGTCCCTGGGGCTGCTACCTCCCATCCATGCCCTCCTGACATCTTAGCCCTGGATGGAACAGGGACCCAGTCTTGTATGCCAGGCTTGGGAACTCCCAGGTGGGAGTGAGCACCCAGAGCTGCGCCCGGCATGGGGGATGTACACAGAGCAAACTCAAGCTTTCTCCCTGACCCTGTGTGACATCAGGTCTTCAAGGTGTTCGCAGGGGTGATAGACGGAGTCTTCCTGCCCAGAACCCTGAGGAGCTGCTGGATCTCCTGACTTTCTTTTTTTTTTTTTTTTTTTTTTTTTTTTTTTTTTTTTTTTTTTGAGATGCAGAGTGGACAGTGAGAGAGAGAGACAGAGAGAAAGGTCTTCCTTTACTGTTGGTTCACCCCACAATGGCCGCTGTGGCCGGTGCGCTGCGGCCGGCGCACTGCACTGATCTGAAGCCAGGAGCCAGGTGCTTCTCTTGGTCTCCCATGTGGTGCAGGGCCCTTCGCCAGGATGGAATGAGCTCCAGTCTCTCCCGGATAGGGCTCTTGGCCCAACGTATGGATGAAAGCAGGAGGCTCAGATGGGATCCAGTGTACATTCAGGGAGCAGAGCCAGGGATGGAATCTGAACCGCTCAGGGTGCAGCCTGTACCCGCTCCTCCTCTGTCCCCCCAGGCATGAGTGTCCATCTTGGGTGCAAGGGTTCAAGTCATGTCTGTTTCCTGAACATGTCCCAGGTCAGAGGGAAGAAAATATCTAGGCAAGGAAGGTGGCAGTGTCAAGGACTTAGGGGCTGACTGGGGACGTGGGGCTTGATAAGGCTGGGTACAGCTGGTGAGGGGATGACGACAGAGGTTGGCGGGTAGCCGAGGGTCTGCTCCACCTGAGCTGGTGAGCGTGGTACATGATGGGCAGCAGGACTGGGGTGGCCGAGCTGACCCTGCCCCTCCCTCATGCAGTGCCCCTCACTGAGGAGGAGGAGCTGCTGAGCAGGAGGGTGATGAAGTACTGGGCCAACTTTGCTCGCAATGGGTGAGACGACCCCCCCCCAAATCCCCAGGGACCTGGGACCCTCTGCCCTCCCTCCTCTGGGGGGACCTCACCAACATCCAGGGACCTAAGTTAGGTGACAGCGCCCCCCCAGCTGCAGGACACACTGGCACTCACAGGGGCCCTGGGACCAGGCGCACTCTTCCCATCTCCCAGTGACCTGGGGTGGCCATGAGCTGCTCTGCCCAGAGGATCCCTGTCGGGGAGGGACAGGCCAGGTCAGGATGCTGGGTCCCCACGTGGGGCTGACACCAGGGTAGGTCGTACTGCTGCTGCTTCTGGAAACCCATTCCTCACCCCTCCTGCCTGCAAGGTGGCTTGGCCGGACCCCAGATAGGTGCCCATGGCTGGGCTGGGCAGGGCTCAGAGTGACCGCGGTCCCCCCCTTCCTGATGTCTTGTCTGCGGGAACCCGAACGGCGAGGGCCTGCCGCACTGGCCCGTGTTCGACCAGGACGAGCGATACCTGCAGCTGAACGTGCAGCCTGCAGTGGGCCAGGCCCTGAAGGCCCGCAGGCTCCAGTTCTGGACCCACACCCTGCCCCAGAGGGTCCAGGAGCTAAGGGGCGCTGAGCAGAAGCACACAGAGCTGTAGCTGCCAGTGTCGGGGTGGAGGACACGGGCTCCAGTGCAGGTGGGGCCCGATGCACTCACACACATCCCTGGAGCAGCCACGCATTCAGCACTCTCACACGGCCACTCAGGCCTCTTGGCCTCCATCCACTCAGTAGACCGTTGTGGAGAACTCACAGTTTGAGGTTCATTGCCAAGCCTGCCCTGGGGCCCCTCGTGTGAGACACACCCAGTGCACCCGCCATGGAGCTCTGGTGGGCAACACCAGTGCCAGCCCTGCTTTCTCAACACCCACTGGACCCTGGGCCCTCATGCTTCTTGCCCCCTCCACCTTCTCCACACCCTCCCTCTCTTCTCAGCCAGCTCCAGGCCCTCCCCACAAGGAGGGAGCTGCATTGGGCATTGTTGCCCACCCCTGGGTGCCTTAAGACCAATCCTCCTCCTCCCGGTATGCCTGTGATCTCACATCTCTTAGAGGCCACAGAAGACCCAGACACCGGGAGTCACCGTGGCTTCATCCCTGCAGGCTGCCATGAGTGGTGCCCTCAATCCCATCCATGCAGCACAAATAAAGGGTTCCAGTCCTTTCACGGCTGAGTCACGTCCACCTGAGTGAACCTGACACATTTTCTTAGACCCTCAGCTCTCAAGAGACACCTGGTTAACTGCATAGCTGGGTACCATGAATCATTAATGCAGTAAACCTGGAGTATAGGGCTGTTGCTTTGCACAAGGGGTTAAGCCTCTAACCATGTAGCTGGCATCTCATATGAGGACAGTTGAGGTCCCAGCTGCTCCACTCCTGATCCAGATCTCTGCTAAGGCACCTGGGAAAGCAGCAGAGGATAACCGAAGTGCTTGGGCCCCTGCCACCCACGTGGGGTACACAGATAATGTTTCTCCCTCTGGACTTTGCCCTGGGCTAGCCCTGGCCATACTGGCTGAAGAGCCCTGGGCTGAGCAGAGGTCAAGGCCAGTTCTATGGAGCCAAAACGTCAGCCTTCATGAGCCAGGGTCCACTTCCCCTGGGGGCTCCCGTGCCCAGGCTGCTCCTCCTTCCTGCAGGGAGCCTGATGTTTCCTACACTCAGGCTGACTCCTGGACCCCCACTGCTGTCACAGGACCACACGTACCCTGCTGGGTGCCCGGTGGGGAAGGTGTGGGCCCTGGGTCTTACATTTTACTCAAGGTTCTTGTCCCCATGGACATGAGGATTCACAGCAGCAGCAGCCACAGGCAGTGCACAAAAGCAGCTTTGATTTCAAGGAGAGAGAGCGTGACCACACCTGCACGCCTACTGAGGGCGCCACCCACGGAGAGACACTCAGCAGGAATGGGCCAGGGTTGCCAGGAGGAAGAGAGGAAGAGGCAGCCCAAGGAGGATTCCCAAGCACAGCCAGGGGCAGAGAGGGCCCTCCCCTTTCTCTTCCCAGGGGGCGGTGCCCTAAATGCATAACCCAGTGGGGTGGGATCTCACCTGTGGGAATATTGAAGGGATTGCCATGGCCCCTCCATCCAGAATTTCACTTCCCTGTTTCCATCATGGCTTTTCCTTCCTGGTCCCAGCTGAGACACAGGTGCATCCTCGGAAAGTGGTGTAAAAGATTTACAAGCAGGCCAGAGCCGCGGCTCAATAGGCTAATCCTCCGCCTTTGGCTCCAGCACACCGGGTTCTAGTTCCAGTCGCAGCGCTGGCTTCTGTAGCATTTGCTCCTCTTCCAGTCCAGCTCTCTGCTGTGGCCCAGGAGTGCAGAGGAGGATGGCCCAAGTCCTTCGGCCCTGCACCTGCATGGGAAAGCAGGAGAAGCACCTGGCTCCTGGCATCCGATAAGCACGATGCGCCGGCCGCAGTGCACTGGCCGTGGCGGCCATTGGAGGGTGAGCCAATGGCATTGTTCTTCCTGCCTGGTTGCCAGGTATCAGGACCAGCAGGTTTTCACTGTCAAGGAGAGGACAGAATGTGTCTCAGAAGAAGCTGGGGACACAGCACACATTGGGTTCAGCCCTTAGTTAGTGCCATGGTCACTGCCTCTCAAAACCTGGACCCTGAGTGAGCAGGGAGGGGATGGGAAGAGTCGGGAAAGGATGGAGGAGGGGCCTGGACCCAGTGGGCACCCAGCCTGGAAACCAAGGAGGAGCTTCCAGGATCCGGGGCACTGACACCTGCCAGCCTTGGCTCAGGTGACCCCTGGGGCAGGTGCTGTGGCACAGAGCAGTAAGCCACCATCTGCAGTGCCTTCATCCCATGTAGGCACAGACCCAAGCCCGGCGGCTTCACTTCCTATCCAGCTTTCTGCTAATGTGCCTAGGAAGGCAGCAGAAGGCCCACGTTCTTGGGCCCCTGCACTCACCTGGGAGAAGCAGAAGAAGCTCCTGGCTCCTGGCTTTGGCCTGGTCCAGCCCCAGCAGTTTGGGGAGTGAACCAGATGATACAAGATGTCTCCCTTGAAGCCAGAGCTGTGACATAGTGGGTAGGGTCACTGCCTGCAGTGCCAGCACCCCCTATGGGCACCGGTTCAAGACCTGACTGCTCCATTTGAGATTTAGCTCTTTGCTGTAGCATGGGAAAGCAGTGGAGGATGGCCCAGGTCCTTCGGCCACTGCACCCGCATATGAGACCTGGAGGAAGCTCTTGGCTCCAGGCTTCAGATCGGCGCAGCCTGGCCGTTGTAGCCATGTGGGGAGTGAACCACCAGAAAGAAGACCTCTCTCTCTCTCTCTCTGTGTCTCTCTCTCTCTCTCTCTAACTCTCTGCTTTTCCCTCTCTCTCTATGTATCTGTGACTTTCAAGTAAAATAAGCAAATCTTAAAAAAAAAATCACTACTTTATCTCTTTGACTCTCTATAACTCTGCCTTTCAAATAAATAAATACATCTTTTTAAAAAATAGATTCTCAGAGAAGGCCTCCAGGGTGTCCAGTCACAGCCCAGTGCTGCTTGCTGTCCATCCCTACACTATCCTGGAGTCAGCCGGCGAGGACAGTAAACTTGGTGACTCCAGGACTGAGGAGAGGGATTGGACACCCAGAGGAGCCAGGAGCCAGCGAGGCAGGAGCCAGGAGAGGAGCCAGGAGCCATGGAGGCTGCCCCGCCAGGCCCAGTCCTCTCAGTCCTGCTCTCCTGTAAGGCCCCCAAGCCCCGCCCCCGGGGCGCCCCGCCTGTTTCCTGCCTGTCCTGGGCTGGGCCAGGATCCGCCCCTGGAGCAATCCAGGCAGCCTCTGGGCACAGAGCCCCACCTGTGGACCTGCTTCAGACCATGTGGACACAGCGACAGGCTTAGGGCGCCGTGACCTGCAGGCTCCTGCTGCTCCTCCTCATCCCGGTACCCAGTGAGGATCCCGCGGGCAGTAACAGGAACCAGGGTCGGATCTGCCCAATCCCGCAATTAGAGCCTGTGGCTGCAGGAAAACAACACCTGGGTGGTTGAAGCCAGTGGAAGTGACAGGGCTGGCACCTGAGGCTGGGGAGGGTCGGGGCTGCACGAGGATACAAACACAGAGGACTGAGCCCAACATAAGGGCTCTGAGCAGCACAGCTCTTATTCGGAGGCCGGGAGGCAGGGGGCGGTGTGGGAGCTGGGGAGGTTCCCTGGGCTCCAGGCTGCTGGAGCAAGTGACCACGACAGTGAGCAACCTGCCCTGGCACCATTTGTCTCCAGGGCTGTAGACCCTTGGCAGAGCAGCTCCCTGCCCAACCAGGTGGCCACAGTCGAGGTAACTGGACCTGAAAATTCAAAGCCCCTGATGCCAATCCAGAAGCCCATCTGTAACCCAGGGTCTCCTCTGACCCCGTGCACCTGGCAGATGTTTGCATGCTAAGGTGCCAGGGGGAAGGTGACTCCACCCTAGAACCTGGCATTTGTTTTATCGTGAATCAGCCCGTGTGGGTATTACTCAGGGCGTGAGTGCTTGATCCTTTGTCTCCTCATTCAAAAAGCCAGGTCTCTAACCCCACCCTCTCCCTATCTAATCCCCAGCACAGGCCCCACTCCTCCTCCTCCATGCTCACCCACGGGCTCCCCGCCTGCCCTGCAATGCACAGACTCTCCCGGCGACCAGGACCTTCCAGGCAGATCGTCTCCCCCACATCACTGTGGTTCCTAATAAAGTAATATCTGGGGCTGGGTCCCCACTCAGAGAGGGAGCAGTTGTTCCCCAAGGACCCTGGGAGTCGCTGTGCGTGTCCGGGGCAGGAACCGCGGCAGCGTCTGCACGGAAGCCGCCCCTGTCCTCCGTGGACTCTGCTGAGCTCAGCTCACTGTCAGCCTCACAGCCGGAACTGCCGCTGCAGGCAGCACTGTCCTCCATGGTTGGGGGGAACGACAAGGACAAGGTCGGGACCAGCTCAGGACAGAGGCGCTATTTACTCACCCGCTCCGGGGCCAGGCTCTCCTCTCCCTGACCCAGGGGCCCAGAGCACCCTTGTGGCCGGGCATCGCCTACTGTGACATGGGAGGTTCCTCCCGAGGAGGAGTCAGCTTCCATGGGCTGGGGATGATTGATTTCTGCTGGTTTGAAGGCAGAGACACAGGGAAAGAGGGAGAGACAGAGTGAGGAAGAGCTCTCCCCTCCACGGTCTCCCTCAGACGCCCGCTGTGTTAGGAGGGGAGCATCCCAGCGGCCTTGCTACTGCTGCTCCAAGTGTCTGCCCAACAGTTGGCACTTCCCTTGGGCTTCTACCGAGGGTGGGACCTGCAGGGCGGTGGAGCTCCAGGTTAAGTGTTGCAGGACTGCCCGTCAGGTTCCCAGAGCAGGTGTCCCGTTTCCCTACCCCAGCGATGCACAGAGGTCCCCTCCCCACCCCCGCGCCCGCGCTCTGCACCCCTGTGTGGTTGCCCTGTGTGCTGAGTCTCCCTCACGCTTCAGCTCCCCCTCTGCCTCGCTGTGCTCTTCCTCCTGATTCCTGTGTTGAGAAACCGGTGTACCCCTGGCTCTCTCTGGAGGGGGAGGCACCGTCCCTGTGGTGCCTTCTGGCACTTCTTCTGTCCCCTCACCCTGTGTACACAGGAATTGTACCTAGAGG